TGCCAGTCTTCAATAAACCGACAGTTTTGTACCAAGTCTGCCAAATTTCTGCTGGTTGAAGACTTTGGTGGTGTTCAGATGTGGAATAGTGGAATTTGTGTCTCTCTAAATTCATGCTCACGTAGTGTATTTTAATATCATATCATATCATATAGCCTAATAGTATATAAGCTCTTTTCATTTCCTATATTATTTTTTCAGACAATAGAACAAGTGGCTATGATATAGTGAATGACAAAAAATTTATGTTAAAAATATCTGAATTGACTGAGAGAGTTCGGGAACAAGATGAAAGCTCTATGATTACAAGTAATAAGCACAAAAAAAAAAAAAAAAAATGGTCAAACTAAATTCTGTAAATATAAAACAAAAGAGAAGCAGATAAGTGATAAGTCCGTGAAACTCCTCTCAGCCATTCACTGAACAGGGGAGATGCAGAGAGAGAGAGCGACGGCAGGGAGAAAGCAAGAGCTTTCGCAGGATAGTACTGGCAACATTTGGAGGTTACTGAGCTTTGTCTAAAAAAGTCGCTAGATTTGTCGCTTGTCACTTTTTTGAAAAAATGTCGCTAATGGGGTCTGAAAAGTCGCTAAATATTGCAACAAAGGCGCTAAGTTGGCAACACTGCGCCTGCTGGCGTGAGTGACTGGTGAAATTTCGCAGGGGTCGCTGCTGTGCTGGTGATGGGTGAAACCATTGTGAGGGGGAGGGGATTCTAAATCGGCGATTTCTGTTTGAGAGGAGTTTGGTGCACGTCTCCTTGGCCTTCAACGTGTAGGCTATGAACATAAAATATACTTAAAAAATATTATCTGATTTATAAATGGGGTGGCAACAGGGGTGGCAAGACTGTATCCCAGGGGTGGCAGCTGCCACCCTTTGCCAACCCGTAGATCCACCCCTGGTTCCGTTCATATTTCATTCAAATTCATATTTCATTCGCACTAGAGTTAGTTTTAAAACAGACCGAGACTCATCTTTTCAGCGACTCGATCCGCTTGTTTGGTGGCACCAGGGTTCAGATGAAAGTGTTCACACTTGTTCAAATGAAACGCACCAACTGAGCAATCCCACCAGCGTTTGTTTTAATCGAACCAAACATGCCAAGTGTGAACACACCCATAGTAAACAATAGGATAAAAACGACAAATTATTTCCATGTTTTTTGCCACAAACTAAATTACATTTTGTTATGTACAGAAGGTGCATGCTCTTTCTCCCGCTCAAACGCACACACTCACACAGAAACATGTTGTCAGCCCTACTCTGATGATATTATCAGTAAAATAGTTTAGCAACTTAAAAGCTGCATGACATTTCTCACTAGCGAAGTAATATCGGCACTGTTCTTGAAACAGATAAACTTACACTTTCGCTATTAGTAGAGATGCTACTGCGGAACACTGTCAAGAGAGACACAATAACAGTAGTATTATATTTCAACTGTATATTAAAAAATGGCGTTGTCATTCCCCTTATTATTATTATTATTATGTTGTCATTCCCCTTGTAGCACGCGCAAGTGACGATACTCTGTCAACCAATCAACATTTTGCAGTGAGTCTAGCTCCACCCTTTAATACCATACAACTTTGCTAGGTACGCCAACGGAAGGGTACCGAAACAGTGGTATGGTACGGTTCGGCACTTTGGTACCATTCACAACTTTTGACAGTGGAAACGGAAATAATTGCGTACTGTACTGTACCGCAACGCTCGGTGGAAACGAGCCATAAGGGTGCTTTCTCGTTTGCTGCGGTCCGAGCCCGAGCTTACTGCCAGTGTGAAAGCACCCTTAAAGGAATAGTTTATCCAAAAAATTAAATTAGCCCATGATTTACTCACCCTCAAGTCATCCAAAGTTTATAAGACATTCTTCTTTCTGACGAATACAATCAGAGTTATAATGGCAATGAATGGGTGTTTCTGTTTTGAAATCCATAAAAGTGCATCTATCCATAATAAAAGTGCTCCACACGGCTCCCGGGGGTTAATAAAGGCCTTCTGAAGCAAAGCGATGAGTATGTGTAAGGAAAATATTCATAATTAACATGTAAGTAAAATTTTAGCATCAGGCCAAACGGCCATACACAGTATGTACAACTTACGCAACTTATAACGTCAGAAGTAGCATCGTGCGTCATGGCGTAGCGTACATACTAGCAGTACGTCGCATTACTCGCATAAGTTGCGCTTTCCACTTAAGTGGAATCCATATGTTCATTTGGCCGGAAGCTGGTTATTTTACTTTATAAAGTGTTAAATATGGATATTTTTCTTACACAGACGCATCGCTTCGCTTCAGAAGGCCTTTATTAACAGATTGAAATTAGGCTCTCAGATTTCATCAAAAAAGATCTTCATTTGTGTTTTATCTTACAGGTTTGGAAGATCATGAGGGTCAGTAATTAATGACAGAATTTTCATTTTTGCCTGAACTAACCCATTAAATCTGTCTAGTTAACCAAGCTTTTCATCAAATTAACCAAATTAATCAATATGATATAGTGATTTTATGAAAAACTCCATATTTTATCTCAATTTACTTTATTGTATTTGACATGAAAACAAATGTTGCTCACTTGAAACATTTTTTCATATGTATATGAAGGCTTGCTAAATGTTTAAAAGTCTTCTCACACTGAGTACAGTGGTGCGGCTTCTCTCCAGTATGAAGTCGCTCATGTACTTTCAGAGTTCCAGGCAAAGCGAAACTCTTGTCACAGTATGAGCACTTGTGAGGTCTTTCTCCAGTATGAGTTTTTTGGTGCCGTTTCAGATAGTCAGCTCTAATAAAGCTCTTTCCACAGTCACAACAAACATGATCTTTCACTTCATTATGTGTTTTCTGGTGCAGTTTAAAACAGTTCAGTCGTGAAAAACTCTTTCCGCAGAGAGAACACACATAAGGCCTCTCATCTGAATGAACGATCATGTGACTTTTCAGATGTCTTGACAAAATGAACTTTTTTCCACACTGATCACAGTTAAATGGCTTTTCTCCAGAGTGAACGCGCAGATGATATTTTAAATTTTTTGCATCTTTGAAAGTCTTCTCACACTGAGTACAGTAGTGTGGCCTCTCTCTAGTATGAACTCGCCCATGTTCTTTCAGGTGTCCGGACCGAGCAAAGCTCTTGTCACAAATTGAGCACTTGTAAGGTTTTTCTCCTGTATGACTTCTTTGGTGCTGTTTCAGATCACCAGCTCTAGTAAAGCTCTTCCCACAGTCACAACACACATGATCTCTCACTCCATCATGTGTTTTCTGGTGATGTTTAAAACTCTTCAGCTGTGAAAAACTCTTTCCACAGAGAGAACACACATAAGGCCTCTCATCTGAATGAACTCTCATGTGTCGTTTTAGATTTGATGACGAAATAAAATATTTACCACACTGATCACAGTTGAATGGTTTTTCTCCAGAGTGATGGAGCAGATGAACACTGAGACCTGATGGTTTAGAAAAACTCTTTCCACACTGAGAGCAGGAGTGCAGCTTTTTGGCTTTTGTTCCTTGAGTTTTGAAGTCGCAGTGTTTCTTTACGTCATTTAGTTTCTGTATTTGCTCCTTCAATTCCATCTGGTCTAAAATAAACATATTAATCAGTTAGAATCAGTTCAAGGAGGTTAAATGTTTATTTAAATGAGAATTAAAAACACTTAGCAAGCAGAAAACAAGACACCTGTCTAGGGGTGTGCCGGTTTCAGAATTGGTGATGACGGTTATGAAGTGAGTCAAATGTGACCGTTCGTAACATAACCGTCGTCGGGGGAGGGGGCGGGGCGTTGCGACGTTCGTCTGTTATAGGACAACTTAGTTTGAATAAACGAGCAGACACTGATTAGCTACTTGCTCTACGTTTATTTAAAATTAACAGCAAGTCAACTAGAAGTGAATGTGTTTTCCATTAAATGAATCACACACAGTAAACAAATCCTTACCGAAAAAAAAAACAGGCCTATTCTGGTGGGTGTGGTGATGCGGTGGTGACGCATTCATGTAACATGTAAGGGCGGCGCTGCCAATAAAGCAATAAAGCTGTCGCGAAGAACCGGCAAAAGTAATGATTATGAATATGTAAAATATAGCAAGGAGATATTTTAATTGTTTATTAATAAACAAGTGTTTTCTTTGTCAGTGTCAGCTGCAAAGATGAAGTTGATGATGCTGACGAGTAGTGAACGCGGCAGAAAGAAATGCACATTTCATACGGATTGCATAAGTAGAGAGCAGTCTGTAGTCTGTTTTCTTTCATTTTGAATTGTTCTGTTTAAAAGTAGACATGTCTGTGAGTGCAAGTAGGCCTACCTTATACGCTGAGTTTCGGTTCATTTATGAGACGAGCTCCAGGCACAACACCGGTGCCTCTGTTTCATGATTATCTATTGTCTGCTATATTTACTTCTTATTTATTAAATCCAGGCAATTGGTTGATGAAACACTGATTAAAATTAAGATACAATTAATACAAAACAAAATTCATTTTAAAGAAAGGTTTTGTGCTTTCTGTTTGATGTCTCTGTGAAAAGTTTTAATGCTTTCAGAGCGTTCACGTCCATAACATTGTTTTTTCCTCATAAATGCGAACACGAAAAATAAAATAAAATTAATATTTTATGTTCTGTGGAGACTACAGTTAGGCTACTCATAATTTGTTTTCTGAATACGTAACAACGGTACATGTATTCCGTTACTCCCCAACACTGATATTAGTAGCCTATATAACCTTATCTGCAAGATATTTTAATAACACGGTTTTGGCGGTTATAGAGTTCTTATTGACGGTGTTCAACTATAACCGTCGGTCTCACGGTTATATAATAACCAACACACCCCTACACCTGTCTGTTTAAAATATCTTTGATATGAGTTCAGTTCTGTCATGCACTTGTTAATGCGATTAAAACTGGGTTATGATCATTTAGATGCATTTCTCATCCATATTTTCAGAGCTACTAAAGCAGTCAACAATGAAGAATCAAGAATGGACACCAACCTATTTCTTCCTTAGTATCTTCATGTTTTATTCTGGATGGTTCTGGATCACTCATGTCTTCAATTTTCACTTGAATAAAATCAATCTCCTCTTTAATGAACTCCATCTCCTCTTTGATAAACTCCATCTTTAACAGTCACACAGATTTCAGCTGCTACTCCAGGAGTTTGTCCTTCTCTTGTAGGATGATGGGAATATTCCCAGTATTTATTGGTGAATTGTTGTGGGAGGGGCTTCACTGCAGGTGTGAACTGTGATCACTGTGTGATAGTGACGCCCACAGGACCAGATCTGGAAAAAACAAAGATAAGTTACTGAATTTATACTGGATTACTTTAACAGTAAACACATATGGTGTCTTTGGTTTACTTCAAATATAGAGCATTTTGATGGTTACATATTAGTAGCAAATAAAATAACTGTAGGTTGATTTTTTTTAATGTAAATTCCAACATATAATAAGGATAAATCAGGGCACAAGTTATGTTATTCAATTGACCCTTCGCTAAGCCACGCCCGAAAACCGCCACTGGCCAATCGTGGCTTAGCAACCGTAACTAGGCGCGGGAGGTCTGTCAAGCTTTCGAGCGAGGGAAACATGCCGACGCGTTGTGCGCATGGATCGTGCAAATCTGATACCCGGTATTCTAAAAGTTTGGACGGTGGGGTGGCATTTTTTCTCTTCCCGAAACCTAAAAGCCAAAGGGGAGAAATCCCGGGCGTGGATCAAGCAGTGTGGAGACCCATTCACAACTAAATGTCGACAGGATTAACAAAAAAAAAACGCCTATTGCTTGGAAATAATGGCGGTTCTTTGTTCATAATACATATATTTGAACGTAAAATAAGACGATTAAAGGCAAGACGGAGGCTCACTGACAAACTTTAAAATATGTTTCAGCATTGTGTTAATCGACGGCGGACGGCCTACTAACGTTAACTTTAGCACTACCCCTGTAACTTTACCCCAATCCGATCGCGGCTCTCCCGGTGTTAGATTGATGGATAAACTGTTTGATTTAAATTGATTTGATGTTAGATTATTTTCACATTTCACTTACTCTGCTGTGCATGAACATAGCTGTTCAATTTGTGTGTTTCCCATGTGAATGGTCTGCTAAGGAGGCGGCTGCTGCTTGCGCTGGGACCTAACGTTATAGGCTTTAGCTTCAATTTTGATGAAATTATTCTCTAATCGGTTGCATATTATGTCGTGGATATATCCCTCGAATGCATACTGCTGTCCCTTTTGTCTTGCTCTCTCAGATATTTCACTTGTTCGCCAAAAATGACTAAATATCTCCTTGGTAATGTCTGACACCGGTGCATTCACACTGTAATAGACGTGGCAGCCGCGAAAGCTTGACAGGCGTAGCAACAGTAACTAAGGAGGGCGGGGCTTAGCGAAGGGTCAATTAATATCTAAACTAATAAGAAATCTAAAATTAGACGACAGAAATCAACCATTGATTAAGGGACTGAGAATGATGCCACAAAAGGAAATAATCTAACACTTGACCATCAAAATGTGGATAACAAGTACTATACACGATTATTATAATTTAAATGTATATTCCAGAATAATTTATCATATATTGCTCGTTATTTAATTTAATTTATATTGCCATTAACAGTTGAGCTAAAGCTTTCTTATTTGGTGAACTATTGTGGGGGACACCAGATCTGCCAAATTCGAGGTTACTGAGATTATACTGAAATACTGTAATCATTACACTTCTTAAATTAAATGACCATGTGGTGCTTGATTTTAGAAATATAGATCATTTTGATATGGTTATATAGCATTTAAAACGGCTCTATATGAAGGTAATTCATTTTTATGTGACTCCAGATTTTATAAGGATGAAACGAGTTAAATTATTCAATTAATATGTGAATAGGCTTTATGCCGAGCGTCACGTGACCAAACCGGAAAACGGGTCTCATTGCATCCGCTTGTCAGAGAAAGTGTTATCTACTGACGGATCTAAAGACCCAAGGAGTGAGCATGTAGGAGTAGGAGTATACATTCCAGAGTTTAATGTTGTAATTTGCAAAAGAATTAATGATGGAGTATCTGTATTTACAGCTGAAATTACTGCTATAATCCTAGGATTACAATGGATAGAAGAGGTGAGGCCGGAGAGAGTTGTAATTTGTTCAGACTCTGCTGCAGCTCTTAGTAGCTTAAACTCAAAAGAAACCTCTAGAGATGATTTATTGTTGGAAATATTTACAACATTATTAAGAATACAAAGAGTTGGAACTGATGTACAGTTTTGTTGGGTTCCTGCTCATGCTGGTGTAGAGGGAAATGAGAAGGCAGATGAGATTGCTAAGAGAGCGTTGAATTTAAACAAGAATGAAATTATGAAAGTTCCATTTGGAAAAGGTGAGGCCAAATCATTAATTAATAAGGTAGTGAGGGATTTGTGGCAGAAGAAGTGGGACTCAGTTAACAAAGGAAGACACTATTATAATATACAAAAATCAATCACAGTGAAAACATATAAAGGAAAGTGTAGAAAAGAGGAAGTGGCTCTTGCAAGACTAAGACTTGGACATACTGGATTAAAGTCAACTTTGTTTTTAATGGCAAAATGCATTTCTGATAAATGTGACAGTTGTAATGTACCAGAAAATGTTGAGCATGTTATTTTGTGGTGTAATAAGTATAGTGCTGAGAGGATCATTTTACGTGGGAAAATGTACGGATTAGAACGTGGATGGAATTTGGAAGGGATTTTAGGAAGGAATGAGAAGATGAGGGAGTGCTGGGAGGCTCTCTTTCGTTTTCTAAGAAATACAGGATTAGATAATATTATATAGGTTAGATATAGTTGAGTTAGTTTCTTTTGCATATTTGTGTGAGTATGTATGTATACATGTATGTGTATGTAAGTATATGGGTGTATATGTGTAAGTGTGTGTGTGTGTTTAATAATTATTATTATTATTATTAGCATTTTATATATGTAAGTTGTTTTTTTTTATTTTATTTTTTTATTAAGACCTGAAGTATGTAAAGCCCTGATATTACACACTCCTGTACAGTAGGTGGCGGTATGCACCTATAAATACTGGTTTGCGATCCGCCATTAAACTGAAAGAAGAAGAAGAGAAAGTGTTAACGGCCGTAAGAACTAACTACGATATCTATGGATTTTTAAGGTAATAAGCTAACCTACTAAGTTCACTTTGTTATTGGTGTTTTATGCTGTTTAAATATCTAAACGTTCGTGTGAAGAAGAAAAATGAAAAAAACTTTTAAATATCAATCTCCACATGCGAGGGACATTGGTTATGCTCATTTTTGCTTGCTCCTTTTAAGTTATCTTGAGTAAAATCGCAAAACATTTCATGAACCACATACAAAAGACCTGAATCGGAAGCGATGTGATCTGTTTTCCGGCTTGGGTCACGTGACGCTCCGCATAAAGCCTATTAAACAGGAATCTAACAAAGACAACAGAAATCATATACACAATATACAGACTGAATAGTGGCTGATCAAACTAATGACTATTTAATTATTTGTACGTTACAAATCGTACAATATACATTTAGACAACACAAACATCAATTCTTACATGATAAACATAACATATCTGACCTGCAGACTGGATATATACGGCATATTTCACATTTGCTCTTCATTCACGATCGTTAACAGCGTCACTTTCAGCTTCAAGTGGTTAAAGTTTCAGCGATTGTCTCGTCTCTCGCGCTTCTATCCTTTTTGTTGCAACAAGAATATTAATATACCGTACACTTAGGCTACAGGGGATCACAACTTGTTCGACTGTTACATTCAAAATAGCGGCAAAGGAAACAACAGAGAGAGAGAGAGAGAGAGAGAGAGAGAGAGAGAGAGAGAGAGAGAGAGGCAGAGGGAGAGAGAGAGGGGAAAGAAAACAAAACTTTCTGCGCATGCTCAGTGCGCGCGGTGTCATATTTCTTAAAGGGGCCGCATTCAGCCCATCACATCTCTGCACTGTTATCCAAATCCACTACTATAACAATAATAATAATGCACAATGATAGTACATATAATATATGGATCAACAATATATTCACCTTTACTCGATTATAGTTAGTTACAGTTTTTCTACATGTCTCCCTTATTATGTAATTGCAGCCTAATTATAGGGTCTTCTTTTGAATGCATAGATATCTACAGCAGTGGCGAGGCCAGAAACTTAAAAGTGACTTAAAAAATCTTGGTGAATTAATTGGACCTCAATGTTAAATGTGATTTATTATCAGCCATCAGTTTTAATGAAAACAGCAGTAAGGGGATAGATTACTGATAGATAGATTCATAAAAATTGGAGCTCTATTCCATAAAATCAAAGATGTCAAGCTCCTGAAAGGACAAACACTATAACCTCAAGAATGGAGTCGTCTAGACCAGGGGTTTTCAAAGTCTATGACAGGGGCCTCCCTTTTGACACAACTTACCCAATGCCCCCCATCCCCCCTCCAAACACACACACACACGCATATCATTGTCAGACTCATTGTCTTAAGATTTACAGACTTGATTCCTCACTTTTATCATTGTTTGTGTTAACATGAAAAGTGCTGAAAAGTACAGTTAGGCCTAGACTGTCAGTGAAATGTGACCCATTCCGATTTGTTGCTCATATGTGACATATCGGATGTGTTCTATGACCGTGTAAACAGGAAAAACATGCATGCATTCGGATATTTCGAGATCGGTTTCAGGCCTCATTCATATGTGGAAATAAATCAGATATAAATCAGATATGTACCAATGCGACTGTCTTGTAAACAGGCAGATCTGATTTTCTGAGGCATTAGGGACGTCTCCGCGGTTTAATGACGAGAGAACCCCCGACGCGCATCTGCAAAGGTACGGATGGCCCGACGAAACGTTGTGCTGTCATAGGAGAGGGATGTGGACAAACGTTGACACAACATATCAAAGGTTGGCTTGCTCATCCTAAAATTTCGGACCCACTGCTCCTCCTTAAAACCAATATTTAAACACAATATGCTCCCACCAGTCCTGAGATCTCTCTCGCACACAATGACGGAAGCATATGCACAGGCAGCTTAGCACCATTTAGCATCCCCATAGAACCGGGCCTGTTCTTAAAGAGACCCTGTTATGCTTTTTAGAATATTACCTTTCAGGCAGTGTGTTATTTAGCTGTTGTTAAGTTTTAAAGATTTACGCGCACAACAAATAAAGGTATTGCCACCCAAAAGAAAGAATCGATTTTGAACTGCCGTAACGAGTCGTCAGCAATTCCAGTCTCACTTTCTGATACTTAATAAATGTAACAAATTTGCATAATGCTAGCCAATGGTCTTCATTGGC